GTTGGTGTACATGGAATCCATTTCGGACTGCATGGCTTGACGCCATTCCTCAGCCTCGGGACAACTGATTGCCTCGAGGTAGGTCTCCGGCTCATCCTGGTCGATAAGCATTACGTCACCCTCAAAGGTTAGGAGGAATCCATACCTTTCAGGTTGTGTGCGTAACCGGTTAGACCTACGGGGTTCTTGTGTATCTTGATCATTTTGAGGTACAACAGTTTGTTCCTCTAGCTCATGTTCCAGAACCGGCGCGGTAGTTTCTTCGTCGTCTCGAATTTCTTCGAGCTCTATCTTTCTCCCGCTAGTTGCGATGGAGAGAAATTCCTTCTCGAGGAAGAGACCATTGCGAGCAACGAATACCTTCTTATCGATAGGGTGATAGAATGAATACCCTCGAGTTTCCTTTGGGTATCCCACGAAGAAACACTTATCAGACTTGGCGTCAAGCTTGCCATTCGTCAAAAGACGTTTGACATAAGCCTCACAGCCCCAAATCTTTAAGTGTGACAGAACCGGGCATTTGCCCGTCCATAGCTGGTATGGTGTTCCTTCAACCGCCTTGGTTGGAACTCGGTTAAGAGTATATATTGCAGTGCTCAGCGCATACCCCCAGAATGATTCTGGTAGAGTCGAATGACCCATCATAGAACGAACCATGTCAAGCAGGGTTCGATTCCTCCTTTCAGAGACACCATTCCATTGTGGAGTCCCAGGAGGTGTGAGTTGGGATAAAATCCCATGCTCTCTAAGATAGTCATCGAACTCACCACTTAAGTATTCTCCACCTCGATCGGATCGTAGTGTTTTAATACTTTTGCCAAGTTGTTTTTCAACTTCATTCCTGAATTCTTTGAACATTTCAAAGGATTCTGACTTGTGTTTCATGAGATACACATAGCCATATCTACTGAGGTCATCAGTAAAAGTGATGAAGTATGAATAACCACCTCGTGCAGTTGTATTGAAAGGCCCGCACACATCACTATGAATGAGTGCCAGAAGATCACCAGCTCTTTCACCGTGTCCGGTGAAAGGAGATTTGGTCATCTTACCCAATAAACAAGATTCGCATGTGTCATATGATTCAAGATCAAATGACTCCAGCATTCCCGACCGATGTAGCTTGGATATGCGTTTCTCGTTTATATGGCCTAACCTACAATGCCATAGGTATGTTTGGTTCAAACCGTTCGGTTTGTTCCTCTTGGCTGATATGTTATAGACAGGCATGTCCAAGTCAAGGACATATAACCCATTGGTCATGTTGGCATTAGCATAGAAAACATTCTTTCTGTAAACGGAAAGGGACTTGTCTTTAATAGAAATGATGAAACCACTCTTATCAAGACATGAAACAGAAATAATGTTTCTGCTAATTG